ATTTGTGGAGAAAATGGTATACGGGCAAGAAGCCAATCCGCAAAAGGGGAGTGGGAAATAGAGTCACAAAGAAATAGTCCCAATGATTCTAGAATTTCTGGCTCCAATTCTACCTGAGGATATTTTTATCCTCACTTTTCTATGGTTCAACTCTGAGACATTTTTTTCTGTTGAGTTGAGCAAAATTCAGATTTTTTCACATGGTTAAAAAGTCTTCCAATTAACATACATTGGATGTTCTCTTAATCCATTTGGGCTGCTATAATAAAGTACCACAGACTGGATGGCTTATAAAGAATAAAAATTCATGTCTCACATTTCTGGGGCCTGTGAAACCCAAGGTCAAGACACGAACTGATTTCGTGTCTGGTGAGGTTCTACCTCCTTTTAGAGACAGGTCTCACTGTAGACTCATATGATGGAAATAGGGAGGAAGCTCTCTGGCACCTCCTTTGTAAGGACACTAATCCCCTTCATGTGGGCTTTGTCCTCATGAATTAATAAATCCCAAAGGCCCCATCTTCTAATACAATTACCTTGGGAGATAGGATTTCAAATTAATTTTGGAGGAATAATCACACCATAGCAGAGGTCAAATAAAATGAACTCACTATAGTTAAGAATGAGGGCAGGAAGAGATACTCCGAGTAATCCCACTTTGTATTAGAGTCATATAGAGAATTATCTAATTGTTCCTGCTGGGATTATGTCTAATTAAATCTAGTGGCACATCTACTCTTAGCATAGATTCTTGCTCAAGCATTTACAAATATTTGTCGAATTGAATTAATTTCAAAACACACAGAGAAAACAGTTTACTCATTCATTCATTTTGTTAAGTATTTATTGATCAGCCTTTTTGCAATAGACAGAGTTCTAATTTCTCAGGATATTGTGTTGAGTACTTACATTTAAACTCCCAGGTCTCATTTTTTTAAACCTATATACATCAACCGTAGATAGTCATCATGCCAAAAGCAGTTGATACATTAAAAGGAGACATTGTCCAGAACAATAGAGACAATTCAACAAAATGTATTAGTGAACAAGGAATTCTAGCTCTCAATTCATTGTTCCCTAGATGTGATATATTGGATATGCCATTTAGCCTACTAAGGTCTTAACATTTAAGTAGATGCTCTTTAGATTTATACTTATTTAAGATTTATCTAGATGTTCTTTAAAGCTTATACTAAACAGAAATTTAACTAGATGATTTTTAAGGCTTATTCCAGGTAAAAATAAACTTAAAGTCTTTATTTTAATCTCTCAAATTGGTGGTTTTCAAAGTATGGTCCCCTACCAGCATCCTAGAAATTTGTTAAAATACACATTTTAGACCTCACCCTAGACAGACTGGACTACAAATCCTGGGGCAGGGAGTATAGCAATCTTTTTTTTTTTTTTTTTTTTAAGAAGTTCTGATGGGTACTAGAGTTTCTCAACCACTACCTGGACATATAAAATATATTTAATAGTAAATATATGTATGGAAAACTTTTCTAATTTTTCACAGCTATATCACTGATATGGTTAGGCTTAGTATCCCCACCCAAATCTCATCTTGATTTGTAATCTCCATAATCACCACGTGTCAAAGAAGAGACCAGGTGGAGGTAATTGAATCATGGGGGCAGTTTCTCCCATGCTGTTCTCATGATAATGAGTGAGTTCTCATGAGATCTAATGGTTTTATAAGGGGCTTTTCCCCCTTCACTCCACACTTCTCCTTCCTGCCACCTTGTGAAGAAGGTGCCTTGCTTCCCCTTCACCTTCCCCCATGATTGTAAGATTCCTGAGGCCTCCCCAGCTATGCTGAACTGTGGGACAAAATATTTTGGGAATATTCTTATGCTTTTTGTGAATTTAAAATTATGTCAGTGTCACAGAGTTTATTTCCTATGGGTTAATTACTAGGGATCAGCTGCAGTGGATTAAACACACACACACGCACATGCACATATGCATACACTTGAGAATACTGATGAAGGCTTGTAACTGAAGAAACAAAAACTAGATGATCTCTTGTAATTATCCAATTCTTCCTGTTACAAAACTCAGAAAATGATTAATAGAGAGACAGGGAGAATAAAATCCTGGGTTTACAATCACTTCTGTAAATGAGTAAGACCCTCCTTTATTTAGAAATCCTTTCTAAGTTAATAAGTAATGTGGTTTGGGTGTGTACATTTGCAGCTAGCACTAGTACATTAATGAACTTATAGAAAGATTTACCAGAAATTTTATTAGGTGTCACTTTTGCTGTTTGGTCTCTATAACTAGAGTCTAAAACATCCTACATACTGATCTCTGAGAGAGTCTAGGATGACCCAAAGGAATGAAAGATTTTTCCATAGGGTAATACAAAAATAGGAAGTAAATACACTTGATTTATATTCATGGGCCCTTTTTATTCTGTCTTCTCCTCCTCAATATTTTTAACTCTCTTTATAAAAGTTTCTTCTTTAGACATATTTTATGGAGATTTGCTTTAAGTGATCCTTAATGACTAGAAGATAGGGACAGACACCACTGCTGCAATCCTACCAGCTTTCTCAGTTTGGGCCTGGAAGCCAATTTTAACTTTTCCCTATTCAGTTAACTCCATATTGTATAAAGATATAGATAGATAGATGATAGTCATTATCTCAGAGTGAATTGTGATATGGGTGTGGGTGGTGTGTTTCTAAGCAATAATTTTGATTTGATTTTAAGCCAGAATTATTTGTTTCAGTAGCAGCAGTGGATATTAGAGTGTCAGAAGATAACAGTTTTCTTTCTTTCTTTCTCTTTTTTTTTTTTTTTTTTTTTTTTTTTTTTTTTTTTTTTTTTTCTTTTTTCTTTTTTTTTTTTTTTTTTTTTTTGAGACAGAGTCTCGCTCTGTCGCCCAGACTGGAGTGCAATGGCGCGATCTCCGCGGGCGGGGAGCTCACTGCAAGCTCCACCTCCCGGGTTCAAGCAATTCTTTCCCTCAGCCTCCTGAGTAGCTAGGATTACAGGCACCCACCACCATGCCCGGCTAATTTTCGTATTTTTAATAGAGATGGGGTTTTGCCATCTTGGCCAGGCTGGTCTTGAACTCCGGACCTCGTGATCCACCCATCTTGGCCTCCCAAAATGCTGGCATGAGCCACTGGCATGAGCCACTGCGCCTGGCCTGTGTTTTTGTTTTGTTTTGTTTTAATCTTTAGTGAATGAGATTCAGAGTAGCATGGATATCTTCTTATATCGTGGGAGGATTATTTTGTCACTGTGAAGGAAAATACAATTTCCTTTCCTCCTCTCCAATATCCTTGTCTAAAGTTTGACTTAACTTTGAGTTTGGGGGCTTTCTTACCCACTTGCCTACTATTAAGAGTCAAAAAATAATTCTAATCTAGAAGAATAGTACTTTCTCTTTTTCCCTACCATTAGCTCTGGCTATTTTTGACAATTTTGGAGAGTCTGTAAACCTGATATAATTATTTTCATGTATATTTTTATAAAATGAAGAATTTGAGGATATAAAGATGTTTTAAAAAATCTAATTATCCCTACCTCAGAGAACTCAAGCATATTACTTATTTAACACTTATAATCATTTCTTCTCTTTTTCTTTTCTCCTGTTTGCATGCTGCAGACTTGTTCTTATAATCTCTTCTTAAGTCTTTCCAGCAGCATCTGCTTTTCACCTTTCCTCATTTCTTCCCCTGATTTTTCAATGCAGTTTTCAATGGTTTTCTTTTGACACCACTTTCAAATTTCATTTTTTTCTTCCGTTCTCTTTCTTCCTCTATATTCCACATATGACTTCCAAAGGTTTTGTAAAGATGAATTGTTCAGGATGAAGAGAGTGATTGATTAAGAGCCTGCAGAACTGGGAAGAGGAGAGCTGCCAAGATTGTCTTCATGTGTAGAAGCATAGTGGAGCTACCCAGAGTGTGAGAAGCAAGAAACAGAGAGCCGTGCTAACGCATGACGAAAAGCGGAAGCCTATTAAAAGAATGATCTGGAGGAGTGTGCAGTGAAGAAAATAGAGTCAGCCTGCCGGGTCAGTAGCTAATAGCCCATGGGTTTGCAACTAAGGAAATTAAAACTCTAGCTAATGAGAATTGTAGACACCTACTGAGAGTGAACCGAAGGCTTCCTATTAACTTCCCTTCTTGGGTCTTCTTGACAGAAAAGTCAGAAAGTTGTTTCCTAATTGTGTAGTAGCAAAAGAGTTGAAAAGGAGGTTTGAAAAATGATGAAAGAGAAGTTTGAGGCAAACTCTTACTCAGCTCCTTCACGAGGTCCAAATAGGATGCCTCCCCGACTCCACTCAAAATGTAAATCAGCATAGGTCACAAAAAGAGGAAGGACAGTTAAAAAAAAAAAAAAAAAAAAAAAGAGAGTTGGGCCAGATAAGACATACAGCCAAGACGACTCAAGACACTCAGCGGGAATTTGGGGTGTGGGGACTTCAAATTAATATATCCAATATTAGCTTTGTGGAATTAGCAGGATTAGGGTACCTCTTTCAAGAACACTGGTTAAATTTCATGATTTCAATAGATGACCAATAGCTATTATTATGTACCTCCCCCCGCTTTTTTTTTCTGCAGAAGTTAAAAAGTTTGTTTGACTCACAGGTCACCAAGAGATTGATTAGAGGCCTCTCGACATCATTTGGGTTTGGATAAATCTGTAGGGCCACTTTACAGACTGTCTCCAACTCCTGATCCCACTGTGGTTCTTTCTGAATTGATCCAGGTCCCTGCTAGCAAGTGAAGCAGAAAGAATCCAGGCTAGTTGTGAGATGACATACAGCAGGCTGAGATGATGGGGACATTTCAGAACCAAGAGGAGGTGGCGGGCAGGACACAGACTTGTTTCTCCCACCTTGATGCCAACGTGGTCTGGGAGAGATCTCGAAGGGCAACGTCGAGGGGACTGCTAGCGTCAGCCAGGGCGCCGCGGTCCGTCGCCCCTCTCCGCGGGCGGGGAGAGGGCGGGGAGCGAGCGCGTGTGCGCGAGAGCGGCGGGCGGCGGCAGGAGGAGGCGCAGGCGCGCTGCTCGCCCGTCTGCAGCCCCGCGCCGAGCGCCGCGTCTCGGGAGTTGATGGCAGCACCACTGTGCGGCCGCCCGGCCGAGCGCGCAGCGCAGCCACACGCTGCTGCCCAGGGAGCGCCCAAGATGTGGGGGGACCGGGGCGGCAGCGGCTGTAGCAGCGCCAGGGACGGGGGCACGCAGCAGCCTCCGCTCGCTCGCCTGTCCTGACCTGCCTCGCTTGCCCCCGAAGAATGTCAGCCAAGTCTAAGGGGAAACCCTCCTCGTCCTGTCCAGCCGAGGGACCGCCGGCAGCCTCCAAAACCAAGGTGAAGGAACAGATCAAGATCATCGTGGAAGATCTGGAATTAGTCCTGGGCGACCTGAAGGACGTGGCCAAGGAACTTAAGGAGGTGAGAGGCGCGGGGGTGGGGAGGGAGTTCGGCGCCCTTCGACCCCTGCGGGGTCCCCTTCCCATTTTCGGCAGGGACCGCCAGATTTCCAAACTCCTGGGAAACTACAGAAAAGGCGCCTGCAGACGGACTTTCTTTGCTCCGGATACTCCTGAGAGGAGTTGTTGTTGCACTTTTTAATTTTTTTTTTTTTTTAATCAGGAAGAAATCAACTAGTGTTTTAATCGATGGACCTGGGCTGGTGGGAGGGGTGAACGCACGCGTGTCTCTGAATCTGTGTGTGTGACGACGGCGGAGGGGGTTAGCTGGGGGTGTGTCGGCAGAGGAAGTCGTGAGCAGCCCGGCCGGAGCGTGCAAGATGCTCCTCTCCTGCCCTCTTGCTTCCCCAGAGTCCTTTGGCAAGTCCGCTGCCTATCTGGCAGCCTCCCCAAGTCGGGGCTGAAGAGGGGCCGGGTTCTGGGCCCTGGGCCAGATCAGGGAGGGCAGCCTGGGGGAAGCTTTGCTCAGACTCCCCTCCCTGTCTCCTGAGCCTTGCTGCAGGGAAGGCGACCCGGGCTGCTGGCAGCCTTGGGGCTAAGGAGGGGGATCTGGGACTTTCTCACTTTCTCAGTTCCTGAAGCATCCCCTGCTCTCCTCCGAATGTCGTTCCCAGTAACTCTGGGCCTTCCTGACACCCTACCTCTCTTTTCTTCCTTCCACCCTGTCGCCACTTGGCACTGAACCCGAGGAGCAGGACGCGCAGGAGAGTGTGTGTGTGGCCGGGGTCTTGCCACTGGCGTCGTGGCTCTCTGCAACTGGGACTGCTTCGGTTCTTCCCCCCTTTTCCTCTATCTCACTTATGTTCAGCCCTACTCCCGCCCGCCCCTAGCCCCAGGTGATCCAGATGGAAAGAAGCAGGGAAGGTGTCAGGGTTGAGGCTGCGTAACTCAGGCGGCGGCTCCGGGCGGGGGCGGGGGCCGGGCTGGGAGGGGTGGGGTCTCCCGAGCCAGGCTGGCTGCGGGCGGCGTCGCGGAGCTGGTGGCAGAGTCCCAGCGCGCCGCTCACTACTGAATGGGCTCCTGGTGCGGTTCTCGGTGAGGGAGTCCGTAGCTCCGCTTGCGTGAGAGCTAAGACTGGAACTTCGAAGGTGGTGGTGGCTGCAGCGGGAAAAGAAGGGGTGGGGCGCAGTCTAGGTCCAAAATTGTAATCCTGTTTCTGAAGCCAAGGGGGAGGAGACTGAGGGTTGTTTGGATGACTGGCCTCTAGAGATTAACCTCCTGTATTCAATTTCCAAACCAAATTTCAAGAGCCCCGTCGTCTTCCTTCCCTCCCCCCATTACCTCTATGAACTGAACTCCGCATTTGTTACCTAATATAAGTCTGTTAAAATGGGCCATTCGTGGCCAGGGTTAAGTTTGCCAATGGCAAATGTCGTTCCTGTAGGTTACTCCACAGACAGAACATAATTACTACTGAGGTCCGGAGAGTGGCTGTTCATATAAATTCAGGGATAAAACTTGTTCGTGTTTTCAGGGTTTCTCTAGGATTATTGCTTCACAACTGGTTGACAGATGGTGGGGTTATGCATTGAAATTCAATTCTAAAAATGCTGTCCCTTTCTTTGTTATTCTTTTATATGACATCTTTGGCAGACTGTGTTTTCATCTGAAACATTATGGCGTTTTAAAAAATGAAATTGGGCATATTCCTTTCGGCAGAATTGTGCTTAATAATTGGTAAGGTTTCTATGGGGAATGTAGAAAACCTACAGCGGCACAGAAACGTATTTACTGTTATCATGAGGCTGAGACTAAAAGAAAGGTAGTTAAGCAGAATTCTGCATCTGTGAGCCATACTTCCTTATGTTATAATGCCAGTCCACTCACTTTTTTTGCACAGAATAAATGACAAGAAACTACACATGGTCCTGGTTTTACTTTGCATCATTATTTATGGACATTTAGAGATCAAGTAGATCTGTAGTGAAATCTTCAACCTCCCTGTGGTTATTGGGTAGAATCACAAAAATGTAAATCAGGAAATCTGTTGATACCACTTTCTGTGTCTTCATTACTGAAGATTTTTTAAGGTGAAAAAAAAAAGGTTGTTTATAAGAGGAATAGAAAGCAGAGATACTGTACAACCCAGTAGATGAAAATATATAACAGATCTAGAGATACAATTTTGACTCAACATTTTGGAATATTTGTTTGCCTTAAGGATCTGTTTGAGTAAAAATCTCACCATGAAACTGAAATTTATGACTGATAAATAATGTGATGTGATTGTTAATTACTTTTGTGGGGTATCATCATCCTAGATTTGCACAAGGAAGTGTACCTACTATGGCCAAATCCCAAAACATTGGCTATTCATATAATACGAAGGAAAGTATTTTGAGAACAAAGTATTTATAGGGCATGTTTAACCTATGACATCTTGCAGTTGTCCAGCATGTATCTTTTTAGGATAATCCTGCATATGTGAGTGAACATGTCTTTGGTATAGTTTTGGATAAAGAAATAACAAAACTTCGTATATTACAAAGCTTGTTGGTTTCTGTAAATGAATGTTGCTATTCATCAGTTGTCATATTCAATATTCTGGCAGCTTAAAATGAGTACGTGTTAAATATACACTGCTATATTTAGAATTCTAACTCCTTTATTGGCAATGCTATGCTTTTAGACCATAATATATTTTAATATAAATTATCGGTGAGTTCTTCTTAACTTGGGACAGAAATTAAAAAAGTAGTTATGACTGTATCACTATGTCAGTCATCACATAGTATTTGTTTCTTCTTTCTGCTTTCAAAAAATATCTAGTTAAAATGCAATCTTCTTTAATTCTGTTCTTTGTTTTTGCATAATTTCTGCACCAACAATATTAAACTTTGGTTTGAGGTTATTTTGATATTGCTTTTCTTCATAGAAGTTCTCTGGGCTTAAGTCATCTGAAAACTCAGGTAGTAGAATAGATTCAAACATAATAGTAGTTGCCTGAAACACTTTAATAAATAGTGACAAAACTCCAGTCTGCTCAGCAAGATGAGTTGTTATTTTGGGTATCTGTTTTATGATTATTTCGTTCTAATTGCTTAATCAGTTATAATTGGATTATATATTAGAAGCAGAGGAACAGGCTTTCTAGAAAGTCCAAGAGCAGCCTTATTCTACTGTCAGAATTTAGTAAAATCTCAAACAATTTGACTTTTCAGAAATAATATGGGTCCTTTAGTTTTCTATGCAATTAATTTATTGGAAAAGCCTTAAATATAATTCAGTATACTTATTGAGCACCTACCATGTTCAAAGTACTAATACCACCTTTTTAATTGCCACCAAGATGAATAAAGCATCGTTTCTGGTCTCAGTGAGCTCCAAAGGTTAGGTAGGGATATATTTATCCTGTCTTTCAACCTCAGCGCTATCAAAAGGCATTGTGGCCTTTAGTGGCCACTCTCACTGCAGGCTTGGGGAAATCGAGAATTGAGAATAAGAATGAGTATATGCTGATTTATAAAATGATACATGCTGCATACTTAGTAGTATGGCAAGTCTTTGATGAAGAAAGAAGCTTAAAAAGATTAAAATATATGAATTTTGAGAAATTTGCAGGTGATTTAGTTTGTCATGATTAACATGAATGGATCAATACCATATACAGGAGATAACATGTTCAAATGTTGTAACTAAATATTGAAGATTTCCATTAAAGGTGAGTCTTTTGGAGAAATGGAGAGTTAAAAAGGAAGATTTTGAATTCTTCTTTTTCTTAATGTAAATTAGGTTTTAAGAGATAGTCAGAAGGTAAAAGGAAATAGGTTTGGACTACATGAGTAATCCACGTTGCATTTTTCTACACATTGAAAAAAAAAATAAAAAGAAAATAGTAGTGAAACTCTAGAGTTTTAGGGATAAAATTAACCGTAACTGGTAGAGTAGGTGTGAGTGATACTTTTTCACTATGAAATGTAGAAACAAGGCAATTGCTTTTTAAAATATTTCTGAAGTAATCTAATGCCTTTGAGTAGCAATATGCCTGTTCTTTTATGAAGATCTCACTGGTAAACTGTTTTGCATTAAATTCAGGTATTAATATGGGATCACATATCTTACTGGTCACAGTGACACTGGAATCTCTAATAATCAGCCTTTTATCTGGAAACAAAATTAATTGCAGCTTTAGCGGGATTCTCTTCTAGTTTAGACTTGTTATAACCTTGAGCTTTTCTTGTAGTGTTTATTTTTATGATTTGAAGCAACAAAGCTACTATATGAGTTGAAAAAACATTTATATATATAATTTCTTGAGAGGCTCTCTGAGTAGACATGACTCTAACGGAGGAACAAGTTAAAATAAGTTGTTTTGTTGTTGCCTTAGAATCACTCAGTGACTGGATCTCCATTGATGAGAAGTATGTCAGCATTGTTGCCATGGACTGGAAAGCACCCATAATTTGTCTTATAGTGGCATAAACTGAAATAAATTTAAGTTGAATTTTGAAAAATTCGAAACCCATAGGAAACAGTCTGATTTGAACTGATGAAAACAGAATTAACAATTATCTGAAAAATATTTTCACTTTTATTTTTTATTTTTTATTTTTTTAATTTATTTATTTTTTTTGAGACGGAGTCTTGCTCTGTCACCCAGGCTGGAGTGCAGTGGCGAGATCTCAGCTCACCTCAAGCTCCGCCTCCCGGGTTCACGACATTCTCCTGCCTCAGCCTCCCGAGTAGCTGGGACTACAGACGCCCGCCACCTCGCCCGGCTAGTTTTTTTGTATTTTTTAGTAGAGACGGGGTTTCACCGTGTTAGCCAGGATGGTCTTGATCTCCTGACCTCGTGATCCACCCATCTCGGCCTCCCAAAGTGCTGGGATTACAGGCTTGAGCCACCGCGCCCGGCCTATATTTTCACTTTTAAATGTTCCCTCTTTTAATGTCTTAACCACTTGATATTCTATAGTTTGTTGTTCTGGAAAGTCCTACTGAGTATTTTTTGGTTAATGAGCC